GACATCACCAAGGCGTACGATTCGGTGGACCGAGACCTACTGTGGGACGTGCTCCGACGCCTCGGCGTGCCCCCGAAGATGCTGGCAGTCAGTCGCCACTTCCACGAGGGCATCAGGGCGCGCGTCCGCACGGACGACGGGCAGTACTCGGAATGGTTCGACGTGGGCCAAGGCCTCCGACAGGGATGCAACCTGGCCCCGCTGCTGTTCAACTTGTTCTTTGCCGCGATGCTCATGGTCGCCGTGGCCGAGTTCGACAAGGACCCCAAGGTGACGGCGAACATGGTCAAGATCGGGACACAAGTGGAGTACACGGGGCAAGAAGGGCAGGTCGGCGGGGAAGAAGACGACGGTGGTGACGGACGCGGAGGCCCTGTGGGCCATGCTCTACGCTGACGACGCGGCCATCGTCTCGCGCTCCTCGCCGGAGAGTCTCGAGAAGATGATGTCGGTCATCGTGCGCGTGGCCGGCCTGTTCGGACTGATGGTATCGGAGCCAAAGACGGAGATCATGTGCATGCTGCCGAAAGGGATCGAGGAACGCCCGTCCACGGTCAGCGCCGCCGGCCAGACGTACAAGCAAACAGATCGGTTTGTGTACCTTGGACGTTCCATCTGCGCGGACGGGAAGGCCAACCCGGAGATCACGAGCCGCAGCTGCCGAGCGTGGAAGTACTACCGCCGGAACAGTGCTTCGATGTACGACAGGCGACGGGCCGACCGCCAGCTCAAGATCCGGCTACTCCAGGCTGAAGTGGTGGAGACTCTCCTGTACGGGTGCGCCTCGTGGAGCCTGACAGCGGGGCACTAGTACACGAAGCTCAATGGGACCCACCGCCAGTTCCTGACACGGTGCATCGGCCGGAGCAAGCGGAAACGCTCAGACCGCCCCCTGTCCTTTGCCCAGGCCCTCATCTAGGCCGGCTGCGTGGAAACCATCGAGACCACCGTGCGCAAACGGAGACTTTGTTTCGCGGGCTTTGTTATGCGCACGCAGGACAACCGCCTCCCCAAGCACATGCTGGTAGGAGCGATGGCGGGGGGCATGGGATACCGGGGCGGGCAGGAGAGCGACTGGGTGTCTCGTCTAGGAGAGGACCTCGTGCCGTTCAATATGGGAAACGAAAAGGAAGGGGGGAAATGGAAAGAAAGCGCCAAGGACCCGGAGGCGTGGTACAACAAGGTCAAGGACGGGGCGGCATGGTTCATGAGGAAATGGCACAGACAGGAGGCGGAAGCGTCCGCGAAGCGCCAGCGCGGGAGGGAAGCAGGAGCAGGGAGTACGGCCATCTCGGGACCGAAGATATAGAGAGTCGGGGAAGCGGCGGTGGGAGGGAAGAAACGGCGATCGGGCGCTGCTGCTGTAGAAGCGAGTAGGGCGGCCAAGGCAGCACTTGTGGCGAACTATGTACCCGGCTGATGTTGTTGCGCCCTGTTCCCCTCCCAGCTGTATGCTATACTCCTGTATGTTGTATTGCCTTCGGCCTCTGTGCTGTGCTTCTTTTTTCATGTCCTCCCTGCCTACTCTGCCTTATTGGGTACCTTGATCTCCCTTCCGCTGTTGCTTTTGCTTTTATATATCTGGCTGTCTGCCCATCTGCCGCCTCTTTGTTCTGTTGCCTCCATTACTCCCATGCCCTGGTGCGTAGTGCCTGACGCTGGTACGTTACCCTTTGATTTTTTTTTAGGCGGGTGTGGGAAGCGTCCTCCTTTTTCCCTTTTATTTTTGCCTATATTTTTGTATTGTTATATTTTGATCGGTTTCCTAGGGCTCCTTTTCTCCGGTCGGTGCGGTAGCTGTACTTTTCTTCTGTCATTTTGTTTCTTTTTCCGAGTGGTTTGTACTCTTTTTTTGTTTTGTTTCCCCGCGGCGTCGTATGTGCCGGGTTTTGTGACCACGGGCTCCCCATTCTTGTGGACTACAGAGCTAATGTGAGAAACAACAACAAACAAAAACAAACTGACAAAACAAAGAGTAAAAAAAACGCAGGCGCAAAAGACCTCACACAGATACTACCGAGCATCCTCTCCCCCACCCCCCGCCAGCCTGTACGAATCTCGGCGATAAGCGTCTCAGCAGCAGCAGCAGCAGCGAGCGGGTGTGTGCTGTGTGCCGCGATCGCTTCGTAGGCTGTCGTTGTACAGCAGCCTACATAGAGGTTACACTTCGAGTGCGGATGCAGCTTGATGTATGTGTGCCTCGGAACGAAGAAGCAAAGAATGATGTTTGATTACTGACTGACTCCCGCGTCAGGTTTTGATGGTGCTCAATTGGAGTGAGCACAAAGGGGGCGAAAGCGCGCTTGTGCCTCATTTCGAAAACAAAAAACAAAAATCACACAACCGTCCAAAACAGGATTCTCCCGAGGTATACTCGCTGTACTGGTCTCTCGGGGTCTTTTCGAACAACCCAAGAAAGTTTCACCGCAAATATTCCGACAATCTCTCTGACGTATTCAGAGTCTCCCTGCTCGACTTCACCGCTGTGTATCTAGGACAAAACTCTCAACCTATCATCCCTGGGCTACACGCGTAGAACGCATGTATTTGCACATAAATATATATGCATCACACAGACAGACAGATACGTCTTGTTGTGTTGCTGCAATCGACTATAGAGAGAATTGCGTGACTCATGATGCAATACTGCAGGTATCCAGCGTGACTCATGATGCTACTGCAGGTATCCAGCCATAATGCACATCTCCGACAAGGAACCCTCATCGAGGAAGGCCCCTTTCCTTCTGGCAAACCGGTGCAAAACAATCTTTGATAAACCCAACCAGGACACAACATAACACACGTGTGGCCTCATTCGGTAGAAACAATATAATGACGGTTTCGCGCTCGCCTCCCAAAACCCCGTCATCTTGCGATGACAGAGACTTTAACACCCCGTTTCTGCCCTCACCGAAACAACCCATACTATTGCACGCGACAGGCCTCTGCCGAAATCTCTCTCGCCCGTTCTGGAGTCCATTTAAGAACCTCCACCCGACGATCACCTGCTGAGTGAGGAGAGTCGACAAGAATCAAACGCTAGCATTCATTGGTAAAACATGAGGCTCGCGTGGCAGTCCGTTCTGCTGCTGCCGGTGCTTGTGGCCGTGACCCAAGGTGAGAAAATCAACCGCAGCAGTGAGCGGGGGGAACGTTCTTGCGAAGAGAGTCACGTCGTCTGCCGCCACGTTGTCAGCGCCGCGGGTGTACTGTAGGCGAAACACTTTTTTCTTGCCCGTGCCTTCGTTGGTGTTTTGAATACCCGAGGAGTCCGAGCGGGTGTAACGAACGGTATTCTGTTCACCTCGCGCCCTCTAATCGACGGGGGGGTGTATGTATGTATGTTTGTGTGCCCTGCTGTGTGTTGATGGTGTGTCTACGCTGAGGCCTCGAGATTGAATGCACGCGCCACGTGTCTTTGCTTGCTTTCAAGCACAGCTCCTGCAGCAGAATTACTACTTGCCTCTACACCCGGCCAAAAGAGTTGTTTGACAAGCGATCTTGCTGGGACTACGCGTAGCATGTACGTGCATGCGCTCTTTGTGGCGCTCGTTCTAGCACCACCACGTTTGCGAGCAATGCTGCTCCGTTCCCCCGCGTGTGGCCACTGCCCATGCACGCACGCGCGCGCGCTGCAGCCCAGTCCACTTGCAACGACGGCATCGAGGGCATCGACGGCAACGGCGTCGTCTGCTGCCCGCGCCATTGCGGGCAGTGCGGAGGGGAAGGTTGCACCGGTTCCGGCGCCGATTTTGGTCTCGGTTCAGAGTCCTGCTGCGGCGGAGGGGTCAAGAGTGCCAACAACTACTGCGATGTCACCGGCAAAGCCCCGTGCATCTACGGCAGCCCCCCCGAAGGTGAGAAGAGCATCCCCCCCCCAGTACTTATGCCGTGCTTTTTGTAGTTTTTGTTGCCGTGGGTGGGCACAAGGACGACGTCCTGCCGCGCGTAAACTCGTGTCACAACAAAACGCAAAGAAGCGCTGTTGACGACCGTAAACGCACGCACACAACAGGTGAGTGCAACAACGGCATCGAGGGCATCGACGGCAACGGTGTTGTCTGCTGCCCGCTCGATTGCGGGCAGTGCGGAGGGGAGGGTTGCTCCGGTTCCGGCGCCGATTTTGGTCTCGGTTCCGAGTCCTGCTGCGGCGGAGGGGTCAAGAGTGCCAACAACTACTGCGATGTCACCGGCAAAGCCCCGTGCATCTACGGCAGCCCCCCCGAAGGTGAGAAGAGCATCCCCCCCCCAGTACTTCTGCCGTTCTTTTTGTAGTTTTTGTTGCCGTGGGTGGGCACAAGGACGACGTCCTGCCGCGCGTAAACTCGTGTCACAACAAAACGCAAAGAAGCGCTGTTGACGACCGTAAACGCACGCACACAACAGGTGAGTGCAACAACGGCATCGAGGGCATCGACGGCAACGGTGTTGTCTGCTGCCCGCTCGATTGCGGGCAGTGCGGAGGGGAGGGTTGCTCCTCGGCTGGCGCAGCGTCCGGCCTCGGTTCCGGGTCTTGCTGCGGACACGGCGTAAAGTCTAGCGGCCGGTATTGCGACATTACGGAGGAAGCCCCATGCATCTACGGCAGCCCAGACGACGGTGAGAGCGGATGATTTATGTGGTAACGGGACTTTGGTGCGGCAGGCGTGCTTGCGGCGGCAGCGGCCGCCGGGGGCCGCTTGTTTTAGACACGCTTTTCCGCTGGCTCTGAGCGCTCTTCTCTTCTCTCAGCTGAGCTCAGGAATGGAGGGAGGGCGGTATGTCTCTGAACGCTGAGAATCGCAGCAGCAGTAGCAGCAGCAGCAGCAGCAGCTGGAACTAACTGCCGAATGTTTGCATGGGTGGAGGATCGATGATGATGGTCTCCAAATCTCACTCTTGCTACATACTCTTCCCTTTTATTGCGCGTTCTCTCTCCCGAGACACTTACGGACGTCCGTACGGGGGTGAAGGGGACAAACAAGCGACCCCGCGTCGTATGGTAGATGAACTAACACAAAAGAAGAAACAAGGCCCCCCCGACGTGGTTCCAACGTTGGGGTGGTGGCTGTTCGACTGCCTCTGTCGAATGTACCGTTTTTTTTTGTGTGTTTTCGTGCTCAGCGCGGGTTCACTTAGTCTAACTAACTAACCAACGTGAGCATTGGATTCGGTCGGAGGCGTCCTGCGACGGCGGCGGCGACGGCAGGTGGTCTCGCCCAGACTTGGGCCGTGTTGTCGTTTTCATGACCATTGATCGGCCCAAGGTACTGCAGTGTACGTGATGACGTAACCCCGAAGTTCGTATCATCAGAAAATATTTATGTACATGCGTTTCCCGCTACGTGCAACCGGAATCGGCCGCCGCCGAGAAACCCGGCGCGCCGGCAACGTCGATCCCCTAGGACACATTGTCCCCGCCATGACCCTAGTACTTGTTGAGGCCTCTGATGTACTGTTGAGTAGGGGTCCGTACGCGCTCCGCGCGTTAATTAAACGCCGCTTTTAGAGCCCCATCTCTCGATAACCAACCGCCGTTCGTTCGTTCCCGCCAGGGAACTCGCTACGCGAAACTCACTTCTCTGCATCGCTGCGGTGGCGACGAAGCCTTGCCGTCACGCGCGGGGCGGGCAACCTCCAGCACCACATGACCCAAGCCTGTGTAGCTCGTAGGCACAGCTGGAGCGGGCTTAAGCGGCCGACGCAGTTGGCGACGACCGCATCGCCCGTTGTAAGTCTCTCCATCCACAGATTTCAGATTTCGCTTCCTCCTCCTCCTCCTTCTCCTCCCTATCATTCTCTCGAGGCTTCCGGGAGTCAAAAAGAGCCCAAGTTGCTCGCCTATCGTAGGTTCGCGAAGATAAGGGTTTCCCCCCCCCGACGCGGTTCCAACACCTGGCCAACCTTGAGCTAGCCCTTCGGGCAACGTACGCGCGGCCTTTCGCTTGCGCACGCACCTGCCTCTCCCTTTCACTCTCGCTTTCGACACCCGTCCAAACACTCCTCCCGTATCTTCTGTCCGCTCCGATAGTTGCGGAAGGCAGGGGACGAACGACCCCAACCAGCCTAACCCCCCGTCTACTCCGGCATCTTCTGTCCGCTAGTTGCGGTAGATAGGGAACAAGACGACCCCCACCAGCCCAACCCCCCGTCTTTACCGCGCTGCCGCCGCGCTTCCAGCTCCAAGTTCCACCTCCCTTGCCATACCCACAAGACGTCGACGGCGCAAAACCATACCTGATGACACCACCACTGCCACCAACACCACTGCCATTGCCACTGCCACCAGTACCACCACCAACAGCAGTGCCACCACCGCCACCACCACTGCCACCACCAACACTGCTACTATAACCACCACCGCCACCAACAACACCATCACCACTGCCACCAGTACCACCACCAACACCACCACCACCACCAACAACAACAACACCACCACCGTACAAACGCCCCGAGACAGTCTTCTGCAGCAATGGCCTCAAGGGTACCGACGGCAACGGCGTGTTCTACTGCCCTCTCGAGTGCGGCACGTGCGGAGGCTTCGACTGCGGCACGTCCGGCCGCGAATTCGGCCTCGGCTCCCGAGTCCTGCTGCGGCGGAGGGATCATGGACTCCGGGATCATGTGCTCCGACTCTCGGGCGGCCCCGTGCATCTAAGGTGCCTAGGCGGCACGTACCACCCTAATGACAACGACCTCCACCCCCACCCCGAAGAGAACGTCGGGGCGCAGCTGATCCTACCACAGACGGCCGTATGATGACCGTTCTGTTGAGGCATGTACAAGGCCCGGACGCGGGGGCCGAAAGGCCTCCATCATCCTCTTTTTTATTGGCAATTTTTTCTGCTCGTTTTTTCAAGTTTTCTGCTACTGCTTTTTTCGCCTCGTCAAGCATTTACCTCAAAAGTCAAAAGTGTTACCGTCGGGTGGTTTTGCCTTTTTTTGCCTGTGCTTGTTGTTCCGTCAATGGCCAGTTGTTGTCTTTTTAACGCCTTTTTATGGTTGATTATGCCCTCGCTGGTGCGTGTGCTTCAACTTAGGTGTTTTCCTCCTGTTCTTCCTCCATGTCTGCTCTTTGCCTTATCGAGGCCCTCGCTTGATCCTCTTCTGCACACATGCCTTTTGTCATTGGGTATTATGCCCTCGCTAATGCCTGTTTGGGCCAAGTATGTTTCTTCCTCCGTTGCTTCCTCGATCTCTGTTCTTTGCCTCATCGAGGCCCTAGCTTGATTCTCTTACTCTCTTTGTACATGGCTCAAAGCCCAATTATTTCCCCATTTCGCAGCCAGAATGAATAGACGTATTATCTGCTAATTCCCTGGTCATTCTCCTCGAGCAGATGTTGAAATTGGCTTTTTCTCATGTTCCTTATTTTGACGAATAGTTATTGCGAGCAAAATGAGCTTACAATAAACCTAGAGGTGGACCGCCTACGCAGGATTTTAAGAATGTCTAGAAAAAATAATAGGGAGGGGGCACGCAGACCCTGTCCCTAACCCTAACCCCAAAGCACGGATTGAATACGTTATCCCATATGTTTGCTTAATCAATTTTGCTGCGTAGACTACTGGGACTAGAGTTAGAACTGCATGCCAAGGGGTACATGCTTTCGATGAAGGGATTCGATGAAATGATTTCATCATTTTGTGAATCCCGACTCCAACCTTTTGCTGCCCTACTTCTCTCAGAGGCCGCCAAAGTTCCCAGCAAAACGTTCCCACCCCGCCTGTCTGTGCCGGAAACGCATACAGCCCGCAGTGATAGTCCACGTGTGCGCGCATGGTCGATGATAGTCCCTCGGTGAAAAGTGAATGGCAGCCTGCCTGGACACCAACCATGCGCGTCGCAAGTAAGGCATGTACAATCCATCCTCGCAGTCAACCCCGTCGGTCCATGACCATGCGCCGTGTGATCACCCGTCAGGTGTGTGTGGTGTACTCGCTCGCACGCGCCAGGTTATTGTATCTATAGTGACTTTCTCACACGCAGGGACTCTCGTTATAGTTCGCAGTCAACCATGAGTACAATGAAGCCCGCATGGCTATTTATCAGCCTGCATACAGCAGTTTGTGTGGAGACAACAGCAAAAAATATGCACACACACGCAGAATACTGCGGACTACTGTGCAAATTCTTTGCAAACACTTTTTTGCGGATTGATTGAGTGATACTACTGCAGACCTCTGTAAACATGTTTTTGCCCGATACATACCGCTGTCAACTAGTTCGATACACCCAGCCAGGGGGACTTATGTAGATGCGTACGCAACAATACCACTGTGCCGAGAAACTTTTTGACCCCCCTCCTCACCCCGGCCTCCGTTCCATCCGCCCCGCCGCTTGTCGCCGCTTTCTGCAAACAAACTTTCTTCGCCTCCCAGACGGCGCGCCTGGGCCTACGCCTACCATCCCCACCCCAACGCCTAACCCGAGCCCCACGCCGGTCATGACAATCCCCACCAGTTGCACCTCCAGCCAGCTACCCACCTTCCGCTACGCCGTCAGCAGCGGGAAGGTCGGGAAGGGACGCCTGTGTGAGTGGTTGTTGTTGTTGTTGTTGCGGTTGGATTATTTTACTTGATTACTAGTTAAGATTTTTTTGCCTCCGTTTTATGCAGGCTTCGTAGTGGACTGACTTGACCATGTAGTACACTCCTGCTGCTTGTCTGTGTGCCCGACGTTTTTCTGTTTCATCCTCAGTGTAACAAAGCGAACCCATCTCTTTTCACGGATGGGGGAGTCTAGGATCATTTTTTTTTTTATGGCCACGATTCGTCATTCCCTCCCCGCCGGCAAAACACGAAAACCCAGGCCATCACGACCATATATTTGCTGGAATAATTATCTTTGTACGTTCCACGCCCCTCCCCCCCCCATCATCGGCTTGCTCTGTTCCATCTCCTGCCGCGCTTCATAAATCCTGTGCGCAGTCTTGCCACAAACTTTGAAAGTCACAATCGATCACGTGCAGTGAGCACGCAAGCACACACATGCATTCATGCGTCTGTCTCCAATCACTACTGAAAGAAATCTCTTGAAACCACGACCGACCCCGTGCGTGTGTGTGTCCCG